TCTTATCTGAAAATGACATTATTTTGTCCTCATTCTGGTTGAAGATTATTTCCTCTCAACATTTTAAAGCTCTTATTTTCCTGTCTTCTCACTTGCTTCATTATTGATGGGTTAGATTTTGTTTGATTTTCATTCCTTTGAGGTTCATCTGTCTTTTCATTTTGGTTGCATTTTTCTCTTTGATTTTGGTATTCCATAATTTCGTAATGTGTTTAGGTATAGATTTATTTTTTATATTGCTCAGAATTTACTGAACTTCATGATTTTGAACATTTTTATCTATAATCAATTCTGCAACAGTCTCAAATATTCTCCCTTTGAGCATTACCTCTCCCCCACTCTTTTTCTGTCACTGATTTCAATACATTGACTCTCATTCCTATTCTTCATATTTTCCATTTTTTGATCTCTCTGTGCTGTAGTCTGCTTTATTACCTTGTATTCCAGTTCATCATTCTCTTTCTATTAGATATGCCTAATTGCTTGTTTGCCTTTCACACTGAATTTTTAATTTTATGACTATTATTTATTATATGTAGAAGTTCTATTCAGTTTTTTAAAAATCCACCTGCTGGGTAGATTTGCTGGGTGCAGTGGCATATGCCTATAGTCCCAGCGACTTGAAAGGCTGAGGCAGGAGGATCATGTAAGCCCAGAGTTTCAGGCTATAGTGCACCATGATTGTGCCTGTGGATAGCCACTGTACTCCAGTCTGGGCAACATAGTAAGACTCTCTCTCAAAAAAAAACATAAACGAAAACAAAAACTATCTGCATTTTCATAGAGTATTGCCTTTGTTATATATTTTTCTCTAATCATTTAAAAAATACTTATTTTAAAGTGTCTACTAACAATTTTCATCTTATGAAGTCTTGGGTATATAATTCTTCATTTCTTGACAGCTCATTTTTGCTGTTAGTGGATTCTTTCACTAAATGTTCTATAGTTTTGGACTGTGAGTCTTTCTTCAGTGCAGTTTTATATGTGTGAACTGTGCACAGCCTAGGTTGAGTGCACGGTCCCCTAAAGAATTTTATATTAATTTCAGCCAGGTGCCCCAAGAATATCACTAGCCAGGGACATATTCTCACGTTAAACTTTGAGCTTGTGGATTCCCAGATCATGAGGGCAGGGTAAGTTTGCACTCTAAATTTGTGTAATATAATTAGGAATTCTCAAGGAAGAACTCCTATACCCCACGCCACTGTCTAAATGGAGAAGAGTTGGCATCCTAACAATCTCCCTGTGCTGAAGGAAGATTTTTATTTTTATTTTATTGTCTGGATTTACCCTTTTAGTAAAAATGTAGCTCTTCAAGAGTCTTGGGTTTATTTATGAAGTCTCTGTTCTATCCTCCCCACCCCTTGGCAGGCTCTTTCCTGATCCCTTTATGGTTTAAGAGCCTAAGCCCCCAGATTACCAAGACTGACAACCTCCCTCCAGGTAGCTATAGCGTCAGCTTGTGTACTTATATCTCTGCTTTTCAGTTCTCTTTTTCAAAGCAGAGGAGGGGTTTCAGAGGGTAGCTGGACATTTCCCTTACTTTCTTACCAGCTTAGGTATTCATTTACAATAAAGGTCGTCAAATTTCACCAAGAATTTTTAAATGTTTTGTCTTGTGTATGTGTACACATGTGTATGGGGGAATGGGGCAGCGTTGAGATAATTCATTTTGCCACATAGAATACCTTCATGTTCTCAAGCATATATATCTTGCCATGTTTATTTTTTGAATAAGCAATATGTTTATATGATATCAGTAGGTATACATTGTGATGTTTCACTCACCTGCCTTTACGTATCTGTTTTCCATTTCCCCCCCACCCTTTCTTGCCATATTTTTTTTTATAGTCAATGGGGCTTTTGATTTGGGTTTGAATTCACCGCGTATTTTTAAATATACACGGTGCAGCCAGGTTCATTTATGAAATGTTAGAGGCTTGGATTATCTGGGGAGAGTAATGTCCAGACAAATATATTAAAATGACCAATGAAATTGTAATGGATCAAAGAGCACCATTATATTCCTTGTGATTTTTGAAACCCACATGCATGTTTGTACTAAATGAAATGCTTTTACTAAGCATTTGTTTATTTAATCCAGAAATCTTTTGAGTATGCTAGGCAGTGGGGATACAAAACTGAGTAAGCAAGCATTCTTGAGGAGATAAACAAGAAGTTACGTTTAGCAATGATACATTTTGCTAGGGGTAAGTGGGATTTTACTAGGGGCAAGTGGAGTGGGAAGAACACAGGGGAGAGCATTACCCAGCTACTAGTCAAAATGAGTTGTACTGTGAGTAATAAAGAAAAAGATGATAAAATGGCAAGATTATATGTTTGTTTTATCCTTAAGATGGCACTATAAACTCACAATTCCTTCACAGAAAAAGAATACATAAAAATCACCATGATTTATCTGAAATTTCACTGAAACCTTAAAAACTAGAATGGCTTTTGTGTGTCTGAGACTGTTATAGGTGCTCATATTATTCTCATTTAATCTTTGCAGCAACCCTAAGAAGCAGGAATAAGTCTTTGCCCCATTTTGCAGACTAAGAAAAGGAGTGGGAGTGGGTGTAAGTGACTTGCCTTCAGTCACATAGCTTGTAAGTGGCAGACCCGAGATATAAAAGGACAGTGTAAATCCAGAAGCAGTGTCCTTAATCACTGTGCTGTATTACCTCTCTATAGTAATCCATATGTTGAAAATCCAGTGTCATTAAAATTATTAGTTACAGAAACTCAGTTTTTTGTGGGTTTTTTTTTTTCCCCCCAGTTCTGGTTAAATCACACAAGGAAACATTGCCCTGGCATGAGACCAAGAAGTCACAGAGCCCAGGTCTTAGCCTTCAGAGTGTGAGAGAAGACATGAAGGCATCAGGGACACTGTGCAAGTGGGTGCTGTTGGTTTCCACTGCTCTCTCCAGACTGCAGCCAGGAGGCTGCCTCTGCCCTGCCAGGTCAGATGCCCCCTGGAGGCCCTCCCATAGCACCCTGGGCTTATGGCCATTTTGTATTTAGCACTCCAAACAGTGTTTACTGGTTTATCTCTCTCTCTTCCTCACTAATCTGTGGGCATTTTTGTAACCTCCATGCTCAGTACAATGCCTGGAGCATAGAGTTCTCTAGAAATCTTTGTTGAACCTTTTCTTCCTCCATATTAAACCAAACCCTGCATCATAGGCACTATTTTCTCAGTATTCAGTTCTTCACTCCCTTCTATACACAAATAATCTCCATCCTAGACAGGAAATTATAGAAGAGAAGGCAATCTGTGTGAGAAAGCAATTTCCATTTGAAGCACTTGTATGTTTAGGTGCTGCTGAGAATTGGAATAAAAGCCAACACTGGGCTTAAATTGTTAAGCAGTATCTATTAGCTAGCATTTCTTCTCCCTGGGCATTTCTAAATCTGAGAAACCTATACTGTGCTTACTATCCTTTCCATGTATTCATCCAGGTGAAATATAGTTAAAACGAAGGTGAAATATAGTTGAAATGAATGCCAAGGGCAACCTGGAAAGGGAAAAGAAGCATCAAACAATTGAATTTTGTAAAGGAGCATAAATGAGGAAAGGTGAGTTAAGCAGCTCACTATCCACCTCCTTTTTTTCTCTTAGATTAACTTCAGGTTGTTTCTCAGCAACAACTGGTAATAATTACCTCCTTTTCTGCCCCAAGCCAATATCTGGTACCCCAACCCCCACCTCTTTTCCCCCAGTTTCCAAAGTTGGCATCTCTAGTAGGATTCCTGGTTTAGCAACCTTAGAAGCAATTTTGGTAGCCAATAAATCCTCTTGAAAGAGGGAAACTTAGAATCTTTGCCTAGAGTGTAAATTGACATTGAGGATGGAGCTGGTAGGAGAGCTATCACGTTCAGGAGGCGACCTTGTAAGGATAAGAACACAGATGTGGCAGCGAAACAGACTCTTTGAAAAATGTCTGAAAATAGTATTCAACACATGTTAGCTGTGATTATTACTATGGATGTATGTCACCAGCAAAGAGGCTGTTGAATGACTTTGTTTACTCACTACATATTATAACCCCCTTACTAGGTAGCAGATACTGTGTGGAGTCTTGAAGATACAATCTTCACTCCTTAATTCAGCAAATGTAACTGTAGCTCTGGACAAAAATAATGCTTTGGAGGAATTATGCCTGGCCTAGTATGCAGCTGAGTAGGTCAACATCTTGAAATCTTCCTTCCCCGATGTTTCAGCTCTGTTTAGGAATTTCCTCCACTATAGGCAATTAATCATAAATAGAATTTGATTTGCAAAATTTTATTATAAAATTTTATTTTCTCCATAAACCTCAGGATATGTATCTTGTGTAGCTGAGAATTTTTTGTTTTCTTTGCATTCAGAAAGATAAAGCTCTTAACAGATTAATTTATGAGTTTGGACACTCTTCAGTGGGAAACCCTCCCAACTTCAGGGAAACAATGGACTTTTGGCTACACAAAGTAGTTAAGAGGTATGAGCCTTTGAATCAGACCAGACTCTTAAATTCCTCCGTTTAACAGATACAAAATCGTGAGTAATTTCTTCACTCTTTTGAGACTCTGTTTCCTTATCTGTGAAAGAGCTAAAATATTTCCATCTTACCGAAGCAGGAAAGACATTCATTCATTCAAGTATTTTTTTGTTGCACACTTACTATTCCAGACACTTTCTGGGTACTGAGAATACAAAAGTAAACAAAACAGCAAGAAATCTTGTACTCTGTTAGGATATGAGTTTACATTCTAATGAGATAAAAAATTGAGATTGTCTATGTGAAATAAAGCATGCTATAAAAATTATTGTATCCGTGGAGAAAAGGAAAATTAAGAGAAAAAGGTAATAATTATTGTATTAATGTATAGAGTGCTTATGTCACTAATAAAAGACTTAAGCATTTTGTTGTGGCAGAGTAGAGATTCAAATTAGAATCTGTAGTTATGTAGTGAAGATACTCTGATGAAGACAAATAATGTAGAAATGAGTTAATTGCTAGTGAAAAGATTTTCAAATTATTTTTATTAGGTAATTTTATAATTTCATAATAGCTGTTAGGATACACAAACATATATATACAATTTTCTAAATAAGTAAATAAAAAGCAGTTTAGTATATCTGCCTGAATGTGTAGTATTCAAAATCTTACCAAAACATTTGTTATAAAAATCAGTAAAATTGTTTAACACATTTATAAAAATTGCTGGGTATGTATACATAAACATTTTAAGCTTGTTTTACAAAAAGTTCAATTTCTATCCATGTGCGCATAGTGACTTCAAAGGTAGTTCAAAGGGGGAATAAAGAAGGTAGCATTGCCTTGTAATACATCATTAATTAATACTGACTTACCTTTGGACATTCATGAAAAATCCTTTGTTATCACATATGGTGAAAATATTAAAAATTAATACTCCATTTCTATGAATAAAACATAGAAAAGAAGACTTTATTTTTCCAGACTAACTCATTAGCATGAAAGACTGCATTCATTCTGCAGATATTACTGACACCCCATATTATTTACTTTAAAAATATTTACGATACTTAAAATTCAAAAGGAAACCCGCAAGACCTATTTTTCTCCCAATACATTCACTGAATGCAGATTTAAATGAGCGCATCTCATTTTGATTGTGCCCTTTGTGTACTTTAAAATGACTACAATATAGTACATTTGTATTTTTAACTGGTACCAAAATTAAGATGAATGATCTATGCAAAACCAGTAGCCTGTATTTCTAGTAACAGTTGTCATATGCAAAAAGAAAAAGCCCTGAGTCAGTATGTTTTTGCAAAAGTAATGAAGGAGGGTGCTCTAAAGTCATTTTATAACTTATAAAATTGTTAAGACTGTCCAGTATTCATTTGCTTTGTTTTCATTTTGATTGAAGAGGTATGATTTTCGTCTAGTTAATCCAATTCAGATCATTTCTTAATACTCAATTTCATTTAAGTCCTCAGAATGTCCTGATGATTGTTGAGTTGTATCTTCCATTTCTGTCAGGAAAGACAAATATACAATAACAGTATTTATTATAGAAAAACATTTAATTTGTATTTTTGTAGTTTGAAACAGTATCGCAAAGTCCATTTTCAGTCAAGCTTATATAATTGGGATAAATATTACCTCCACAGGGTCCTGCCTGAAATTTAACGTCATCAATGGCGATATCACTTCTTATCGATACTCCTCGAATGGCTTCAAAAATAATCTGAAAGAATAATGTGTTTGAATTTAGAAATAGAATCATCCTGATAATACAGTGCTGGTCAGGGCAAATCCAGGCTTTGTAGATATGAAAACTTAGATTGCTCTTGAGGATCCCTTTAAGGAAAAGGATACCAAATTACAAATTGAAATCTAGAGATTAAAGATAATATTTATTTGGAATTTAAAGAAACAATAAATTACTGAAGCCTTAAAGATTCAGGTCCCTGTCTTCTGAGATCTCTTTACCAATTTCCCAGAAATGCTTGCCTAGAAATGCTTCCTGGTGGTAACCTGGTTTCCTCTTCCCAGTTGGAACACTCTGCTCCCAGCATCCCCCAGCACTCACAAAGGGTCTGTGAAAGTGAGGTGCTCAGAAACTTAAATTTCCCATAGCACTCCATAAATCTACGTCTGATACTGCTACTAGGTGGAAACATTTAATATGACTGATGATACCCATGTGTGAACAGAAAAGTATAATAATGAAGTTTACCAAAGATAAGGGTTCACTTATGTTAAATACTACAACATCAAAGACACAGCTCAGGCAGAGGAGAGAATCCGTTTTTATAACTTTAGATTCTGAGAAGAAAATAACTGATCAGATATTGTGGTTGTAGGAAAAATAGATAACCAGCTCTAAGGCTGTCCCAACAATGGTTAATAAATTACTGAATGGTCCACGGAGGCCCATGGGTAATGAAAGTTGTTCAGAAGACACATTTGCTCTATTCATTTTATAAGCAAATGAGTCTTCCTTGGAGTAGTGTATAATTTAAATTAAATTTTTAAAAGCCCATAAATTTTATTTAAACCCTCCCTAAAATTAAAACAAATAACATAAATTAATTAATACGTTTATAAAGTTACTTGAAATTAATGTTTCAAAGAAGCTTTAATGACAGACTAGTGGCAAAATACTGTTAATAAAAATTCTTTTTTTTTTTATAATTATACACCTTTAGTCGTAAAGTCATGATCACAACCAGTCAGCGATTGGGTAATAACTGGCATACCACAATATAGCCCATGTTGGTGTGCTGCACCCATTAACTCATCATTTACATTAGATATATCTCCTAATGCTATCCTCCCCCCGCCCCACAATAGAACTCGGTGTGTGATGTTCCACTTCCTGTGTCCCAAGTGAACTCATTGTTCAGTACTCAAGCCTATGAATGATAACATGCGGTATTTGGTTTCTGATTCTGCATAGTTGCTGAAATGATGTTCCAGCTGCATCCATGTCCCTACAAAGGACACGAACTCATCTTTATTATTAATGACTGCATAGTATCCCATGGTATAGACGGTCCCCATTATCATTCACTTAATCCAGTCTGCAACCTGATGCGACATTTGGGTTATTCAAGGCTTATGCTATTGGAACGAGTAGTGCCGCAATAAAGCAATACAAATGTGCAAGTGTTATTAGCAGCAAATGAACTGATATAATTCTTTGGGTACTATTCCCAGTAATTG